GACGTGACATGTTCGTACGAACCCTTTGTACGAACAAAAGTAAGAGAAATTTAGGATAAGAATACGAACATGTTCTTGCATGAGGCCCAACGATCTTTCTTTTATAGCTGTGGGTGGATCAGTATCATTACTCACTAAATATATATTGTCTTCATTTGCACAATTTTCAAATCACAAGTTTTTAATTTTAGAACATAGGGTAATTGATTTAGATGCAAAAACATGCTAGAGCAATTGTCATCTTTGTTAAATTAAAATTTCTGTGAAATGAGTAGAAACATTTTGTCAGTTAAATGTCAAACAATCATTTATTCATGTTAACCAGTTACCTAGAAATCTAATTTTAGCCCATCTAAACACTTATTCATTAAGTTTTCTGTCCTTTGTTGATCAGAATAACAAGTCCATCAGATTTACCTCAAAGTAGTCGTTGCCCACATGTTTCCCAGTTTCCATGGTGAATTTACAGGTCAGGTAATCAAGGGCCATGGAGGCGATTCCATGAGAAGCCAACAGAGCTGCTCGGTACTCCACCAACTGTCCTCCTCCACCCCACAGGTCCAGGAGACCAGGAAAAGGTCCCGGGCCTTCAGGTGAGACAGTAACAAAATCAATCAGTATATTTAATAAAACATCTGCAGAACAAAGGTGAAAAAATCTGTGACATTGAATGAATAATCCTAATCTGATTATGAAACAATTCATAAGAACCTCACAGTTTCTCTCCTCCTGTTTGGTCTTCTTCCATAAAGTTTTGTTCTGTTCAGTGTTTCAGTATCTTACGCAACTTACCTGCTACCATGAAAGTCTGATCACAGAAAAAGTGTCTAGTTGACCACATTTTAACTGTTTATTTAAAATACAAATCATGAATAAATTCATCTGAACTCTTGCTAAAAGGAGAAAAACCCATAAAGATCACTGAAATAACCTCAAACTGACAAAAGAATGAGAAAAACATGACATCGATTACAGTCACTGCTTTAAAATTTAGGCTCAACAGAATTAAAGCTGTTTTCAGTTGTTTGTTTGTGGGCCTGTCTCTCTGAAATTTAGTCTTTAACAAGTGAAATGTTCAACTTCAGGTGACTGACTTGAACGTAAAAATATTCCTGAGTTGCTTTGGATGTGTGCTTTGGGTCGTTGTCCATCTGTATTATGAAACACAGACCAATCGGATTATTCAAGAAGATCCACGGGACTGAAGACAACCTCACTGGACTTGTCCACAAGAGAATTAATAATGAACTGAAGAGACAGACACCACAAACTGTAACTAAAGAGTCCATAGAGAGGTCAAAGGTAATCAGTGTGAGACTGTACAGTCAGTCACTGTTTGAGGCAAAGTGGACTGAATATAAGACGACCTACGATGACACCAATCATATCAAACTGAGACTGGAATTTGTCCACAGATCTATAATAAACAGACCAACTGTCCCCACCTTCTTTTGTTGTTTGCAAATCAAACCAGCAGAAATTATTTTATAGAAGCTGTTACGTTTTAATTTCCCTGAAGAAATGTTCCCAAGAGATCAGTAAATTTCAATCTAATCTAATCTGATCTAAAAATTTTAGAACTAGTATCTACGCACCAACAATGTGGCCCTTTAAGCCCCACCTACTTCTTCACACACAATCAAGGTGTTACATGACCTTTATTTACACCATAAAATAACTCAATAAATCGAAATGTGTTGAAGGAGTCCCTCTTCCTCCTCCCCTTGGCTTCAACATAATCTTTTATCTTGAAGCAGTTGTGTGTCATCATTGTTTGGCACAATATGTACATTAATTTAATTATCTGAGCCATAAGTGAGTTTAAAAACAGGACGATGCAACTAGTTTAATGAAGAATCTGTCTCTAGTTGTCTCTAATTAAGTCTTTATTTGTGTAAGTAAAAGTATCTTTAACAACCTGTTAAAATACATTAGAAATCAGGAAATAGCTTCTACGTTATTCAAAAATTTCTGGGGGAGGACCCCCAGACCCCCTTCAGTGTGTCCTTTACACACATTACAAGTTTTCTGATGTTGCAGTTAGAGAGGATAAACACACCTATAGTGCTCCACCTGTGTCTCTGTATGAAACTATGGCTGATTATCAAACTGTATTCTTAGTGAGTTTAAAGAGCTGGTACACTACATGGTTGGATGAAGGTGAACATAATCTCATTTTATATGGTTTGATCATTATTGCATCACAAAAGAAACATTTGGTGTTCAGTTTATGACATGTGCAGACAGTTAAACTGAGCACACGTCATGTACCAAATGTTTGTCTAAAGTTCAAGAATAAATGTTTTTAAATCAAAATTTGCTCAAGTGTCATAGATGACAACATTAGTACACAAACCAGATGTAGCAAAATGTTTTAGGTATTTGAACACAGGTAGGCCAAACGCATGCATTCAGCTGGTGAATGAAAGAACCACTCATCAATATAATCTGATCTGATTGTAGCTTAAAACCCTACTTATGCTTCTTTATTTAAAAGAATACCCCCCCCTTTTTTTTTTTACTTATGCACCTCGTGCACTGGCATGGATAAAGGCCCACTGACATCGAGAGTGTACAGGGCCCAGAATTTGGTGCTACACCCCTGCCTCTGTCTGTGACTCAGAGAGGAAGTGGTCTTCACAGCATCCAGCCAGTCATGTGCTGACAAAACTTACAGGAAAGTTTTCTACAGATAAATAAATAACCGCTGGGGTTTTATTCTGTCCTAAATTTACTCTAGCTTCATATTTTTGCTTTTAGTGAGTTTGTTGTTCGCCGCGAGACTCGCGGTCGCAGCTTTTGTTTTGTTTTTTTGCTTTCTCCCCCTCCTCCTGTGTCGGAAGGGGAGCTCAGAGCTCATTCCGCGTGCCTGTTACCAGGTAAGAGCAAGTACAGGGAGCAGCAGCGGTCAAAATATATCAGAAACTCACCCAAATAAGTGACCTCTGTGAGATTCCGCGTTTTACACTGGATTCCAGCCGCGTTTTTCGCATCATGGAAATTATACGGCCCGATGTAAACTTCGAACCTCTATCATTATGTTTTTATGATCGCTGAAAACCCAAATCGTAATCAAGATCAAAATCCGATTAATCGCCCAGCCCTACTGCAAAGAGTGACTAAAATCTGCTGAGAAAGCAGCCTCCCTTCTTCAAAGGACATTTACATCAGCAGACGCAGAACCGGAGCAGGGAACATTGCAAGATCCCATCCTCCCTGCACACAAGATGTTCTCCTATGCCAGCACAGCCTGAAAGCTCCCACTACCAGGTTCAGGAACAGCTTCTACCCTGAGGCTGTGAGGCTCATGATCTCTGGGTTTTAAGTATCCTCTGCACCTTTGTTGTTGTATTTATTGTTGGGATTGGTAATATGATGGTGTTTATGATGCTCTCGTTTGGTTTAGGTCCTACCTGACAGGACATTTTGTGTCAGCCTGGGCAATGTAAAATCTTCTTCTGCTGCCCTTTTTATGTGGAGTTCCACAAGGCTCAGTTCTTGGGCTTCTCCTTTTTACATTGTATTTACATCCCTTGGGTTCCATCTTTAGAAAGCACAAATGTTCATCTTTATGCTGATGACTGCCAGGTATATGTTCCCTTAAAACACGAGGAAAGATACTCTACACAGTCAATATTTGAATGCCTTGATGACTGGGCCTGGATGACATTAACTTCCTTAATTTTTATGATAAGACAGGTTTTATTTTTTAGTCCCGGGGTCTCCAATAGGTCACCCTCCATAGAGCTCGGTCCTCTGACAGTATCTGAAACACACCGTCACCAATCGTAAAAATGGTGAGTGATTTTAATCTTGACAGGCAGATCACTTCTGGGGTGAAGTCCAGGTTTTACCAACTGAGACAACTGGTGAAAGTCAAACATGTACTTTTAAAAAAGGACACTGAAACTGTGATTCATGCATTTATTACAACACGTCTTAATTATGTCAATTCCCTTTATTCCGTGTCTCACAGACATCTCTATCTCATCTTCAAATGATGCAGAATGCAGCTGCCTGCCTTCCTAAATTTCCCACCAGTGGGACTGATAAGGGATTAGCTTATCATTAACTGGTATACAAAAGAGAGCACATAACTCCAATTCTATACTTATTTAAGTTTAGGATTGATTTTAAGATCCTTTTATTTTTTTATATATCTTTAAATGGTCTGGCCCCACTAAAATTTTAAATTAAAAACATATGTATGAATGCATCCATCCTTTATCTTTTAACCGCTTCTTCCTTTCAGGGTCACGGGAGTCACTGCTACCCATATCCAGCAGTCATTGTGCAAGCGACGGAGTACACCCTGGCGACGTCACAACTCTAAAATATGCAAAATACTTGTTTTTGTTTTGTTTTTCCTTTCTTTTGATCTTTAAGTGATCTTTAATCCTTTTTGTCAAGGTCATTTTCATTAGCTTGATTTTCATTCATTGATTTGTAGTCAGATTTTTTTTTATTAAATACTTTTGTCAGTTTTTAGTTGTTTCAGTTTTTTCCCTTTCTTTCTTTAAAGAAAAGGAACAAACTAATCTATCTGTGTATTTAGGGAAATGGAATGAAAACTTCTGCTCTCTAACAGAACTTCCTGCTCCTCCTACCTGGAGGTAAGAAGAGAGTTGCGGTGAGCCCATCCTCTGTGATGGGGATTCTGCGAACACCAGGTGCCATGTACCATCGCTCCACCACCACAGCAGCCAGAGGAACCTGATCCATAAAGCCTTCTGTCTGGTGATCGTGGTACACTGAGACTGTAACCTCCATGGGGATCTGAACGTTCTTCTTCCTCATCCTGAGGGACGACAGAAGAGTCAGTTCTGATAATGAGTTCTGACTGACAGAATCTGCTCTGATGACCTACCTGAGGCCAGGTTTGCTGCCTGGAACTGGTTTCAGGCCCCACAGTAAACCCATCGGCTCGAGCCCTGAATATGTCCCACCCAGACTGAAGTCCTCAGAAACTGTAAAGAAAACRCAACCTTTATGGAGCTGCTCACATTTCTTTACCCATTTTGCTCCATCTTCCATATACAGGTTCTGATCTTCTTACCGTTTACAGYCCCTGTGGTGTCAGCAACGTAGTGGGCGAACGCCTGCCAGTGGTGTCCATCTTCACACTGATGAAGGGCGTGGATAGTTATCTTAGAACCAGGGAGAGCATTCTGGACCAGGATGACAAACTTCTCGTCCAGGAGTCCTCYGGATGGCTGCACAGACAGCTTCACACAGTGCTGCTTCACGTCCATGTTGAACTGCTGAAAACCACAAAACAAGCTTCACTACGTCCAGTTTTTTATGACTTTATTTTACCCTGGGTTGTTTACAGCTATAATGTCTTAGAGTCAAAGTTCACTAGTTTAGTGAAAACTTTTCTCTCTTGTGTAACTCAAAAACTCTACTACTTTTTAAATAAAGGCAGTAAATTAATTTTCAGGTCTAGTATTGCTTGGAACAAAAAAAATCTGTCCTGTGATTCATGCCGTATTTTGCTAACAGACACGCAGGATTAACTTCAACAATTAACTAAATGAGGAATAGTTATACCAGGGGTGTCCAAACATTTTGTCACATGGGCCAAAATCATAAAGTCAGAAGGACTTCAGGGCCAAAACTATTTTCCTTTACCTGCTCAACAATAAACTAAGCATTAAATACTTTAATTAAACAGATAAAAGTAGTCAGACTTATTGCTGGAAATGGATGCGTAAATTAATCTATATCCAGAACTTTAAAAATGTGTATCAGGTTTCCCTTATTGAAATAAATTTGGCAATTTTCTAGGTTTCAATAGAGGGAAAAATAACCAAATTTAGTCAATTCTGATCAATAAAATCAGGATTTAGGTCACTGTTTTGTTGAAAATGCTTGCTGTATTCAGACAAATTTAATGAATTAATTAAAAGCAGATTGCTTCTGAGTAGAAATCACTGGATAGATGTGGAAAAAAGCTGAGTCTGGTTATTTAAAGACAAATAATTGGTATTGTTGCCAATATTGTTTTTAATATAAGATTTTAATTTGTGATAAATTTGCCCTAATAATAAATATAAAGTCTACATCTACATCAAACACCTGTGCTGGGGGGACAAATTTGTAAACACATCAGTATAATTCTTGAACTGAAGTCAGGGGCCACACAAAATCAGTTTAGGGGCCACAAATGGCCCCCGGGCCACACTTTGGACATCCCTGAGTTATACTAAAAGTTGTAATTTGACTGTCAGCGACTCCAAACTTCAGCTTGATACCTGCAAAACTCAGAATTATATAAACAGCTGTTTCCTAAAGACCAGCAGCTGTAATAAAACTTCCAGAGATTATCTCCTGAAAGTTGAGATGAGATTTAACAGACAAGTAAAGTTTTATATGTGAATTTACTTCACTGTGCTTATTCAGCTGTTTTAGAGCTAACAGTACAAACTCCACTGATCTCAGTGTCGACAGATACAGGTTATTAACTTTACTTTATCTTACTGTACAACTTATTAATATGATTCACAAAAATACATTAAAAACAACAACGTGGTACTTATAATCTCTTAAAATATACTGAAGCCTTTCTGTGAAGCGGACTTTATGAACCACAGCTGAATTAATGGATCTGTTATTCAGTTAAAAGTCACAGCAACATGTCGGTACAAACCTGCAGGACGAAGAGTCTCTATCCTCCTGCTGGACTCCTCTCTCTTCGCAACACACCTCGTCCCGATTAAACCAGCTGTGACGTAAGAGACGACTGAAAATGGAGACTCCCTACGGACTAGCGCTGCCTATAGGAGCGGACGTATCAGTGCGGACGCCATCTTGGATGGGTTCCTGTTGCACCGAGGAAGCTGGACACCCAACTAAAATAACTCGTTCGCGATTTTTTTTCCTCACAATTTTGTTTGTTACAAATGGCAGAGATGTAGTTATGATACAGGACACTGTCACACAATAAAAATACGAGCTTTCATGCTGAAATACTTTGTTTTATGTACTTTAACAGAGACAGACATGTAGCTATGATCTGGCATAATAAAAGCATAAATGAGCTATTTAGAAAATGTCTTTATTGTAGCTATACCTCAGTGGAGAAATTCAGGTGCATCAGCTGCAAAGTGACAAGAAATTCACAGGGTAAAATAGTATAAATAAGAAATTAAGTAAATTTTAAAGACTTTAAAGAAAAAATTGTATAGGTCTTCTGGACGGGTATGAAACATTTCGTCTCCTCCAAGAGACTTCTTCAGTCTGAGAGTTTCAGGCAAAATTCAGGCTTTTAAGCACTGCTTCCATGTGACTGATACTCTGATTTCTGAGAAACTGAGACGTTTATTTTCTAAACATGATGTCCCAGTAGCTTTCAAACCCCCAAACACATTACGGCAAAGGCTGGTTCACCCCAAAGATCCGGTGCCCCGGCACAAACAGAGCAAT